TCATTGATGATGATGATGATGATTTAGGAGCTTTATGAAATTCATTCAATCTCGTTAATAGTTTTGTTACTGGAGTGGGAAACCTCAAGGAAGAAGACAAAGGACACCAGATGAAGATCGGTTACGTTGCAGATGAACCAATGGAGGAAAGAGCGATGCAGCTCAGTTGGCTACAACAGAGAAAATGAAATCTCAGTAAAATATTACAAAGGGTAGAATTTTTCGTTAGGACTTGACCGTCCTAAACACATTCGTGAAATCAAGTAGACCACTTAGCTTCCAGTTACTGAAGGAGAGCCTCATTTATGTATTGTCGTTCCTTATGGAACTACGCAACTGAACTCTAATCACGCCGTTGTGCTAGCTCGGTTATCACTTCGGTTCTTGTCAGCATCGTGCGTGCCCAAGCAGGGCAGTTCCATTCATAAACTTCAGCAAATCTCATTAGCTCAAGAGTATCGAGCTGATCTGACTAGAAAACTAGTGTAAGTGTAGAGACATATGGTTGTCTAGAGGTTGAATAGTTACGGGTTAAATAAGTTATGCTCTCAGCCTTCACAACTTTTTGTCCAAGCCACATGAGTCGACTAAGTGAACACTGTGTATTGCCGGGATAATGCCTCAGTGCTGCCGCAAAGGCCATACCAGCAACTAGCGACTGTGATGACGCACGCAGATCCTTCTGACACCGGATAATCAGGAACTTTGAAGAATGATAGAGAACGCTGGCGGATTTCGAATGTCGAAGATTCGATCAGCCGGTCAAAAGAAAGTAGTTGTTAATGAAATAATATGCTGAAAAGAAGTAAAGGCAATTCAATCACTCAATCGTCGTCTTTGGCGGTGGACTGAGCAATTCGGCTGGTCTCCTACAACACAACTAGTGAGAGAATCCAACGGACCTGAGTGGAACATCGATACCAGCCCGCCATCACTAGCAGAAACCCAGCTTGAGATATCGATCCTCCAACGCGACAAGGCACCTGGCGTGGATGGTTTGTACTCCGCATTACTAAGGGAGGTGGCGAGGTCCTTCTGAACAGTCTGATGACCATATTGCAGAAGATTTGGAATGAAAACAATACCAGCCGAGTGAAGCCCCTCGACCTTCATCCCGGTCTTCAAAGGGGCGCAAAAACGTCATGGGAAAGCCATCGTGGAACCAGCCGTGTAGCATTCGCATCTAGCGTACTCTGGCATTATTTTGTGCAGGTTGATCGATTGTCGGTAGAATCGAATCCCTGAGGGTCAAAATGGGTATCACCCTGGGGAAGGTTGCATCGACCACACTTCACCTTGAGGCAAATTTTTGGACAACGCCACTCCTTCAGATATCTCACGCTTGCCATTTTTCTTGAGCTGATCGGCAGAAACTTTGATGGCGTCTGGCGATCTAAATTTATATTTCTTTCGAGAGCACTGCATGCAAACTTCTGCGGAGGAGTGCAAGTAAACGGCAACCTTTTAAGTGAGTTCACCACGTCCAGTAGTTTAAGATAAGGCTGACCTCTCTCATTCTTCCTCTTCAGCTATGTTACTGATGTCCTGCTTGAGATTTCTCTGCTTGCTTCCGAAATTTCGGGGTCGGGATCCTCCCTAGACGTTCATTCACAGACATTGAGTTTGCATAGAAAATTGCTCTCGCTTCAGAGTGTTCAGAAATTCAAACAACTAAAATAACACAAATAATTCTGCCGCACGGTTTGGCATACTCTTTACACCTGCAAAGTGTAAATTGCTGACTTGATGGGATCAAACCCATAACTACCAATTACAGCTGACAATGATGATGATGATCCGCCACGTCGATTGGTCCGAGTGCAAGCACGACCACATTTATTAACACAGCAGAAATTTCTGCAGCATATCTGCACTTAGGTGCGGGACCAGTGCGGAAATGAAACAAGTTTCCACACCCAGTCCGCCCCCGGATGCGAAAATAGTGTAAACGTTTCCGCACCCAGTCCGCACTTAGCTAAAGTCGTCCGACGCTCGAATATATCCCAGTATACGCATCTATTTCCTTCCCCAGTACAATTCGATATCTTCCTAAACACTACGTTCCCGTGCCGTGATAACCCATCTTACTACTTATAATTCGTCAGCGTATTAACTTCCCGGATACAAATAAGCACTCTCAAGTACAAATGCTTTTATGAATGAATTTTACAAAATACAAGCGAAGAATCATGTTACTCTTGGCGGCTGTCTTCAGGCGTTTCCGAAATTTCTGCCGTTCGTTTTCCAGCCAGCGATGAACGATGTCCTTTATTTGCCGTAGATTTGTGTTTGGAAATTTCTCAGTTGTCGCGTCTGCAGTGAAAAAGATAGTTATTGAATTTCATCCAGACACTTGTTCAATTAACTAAGTATAAAGTGACCATCAAATACAAATAAGTCCTTGGGCCAGTCTGCTTGACCCAAGGCTTCTTTTTCATTTATTCCGCGCCAATTGAGTAGTACGGCTAGGCCTTGGTGCCAACGTCCGTGTAAGTATGTTAGTCACGTACAGTTGTACATTACCAGCCTCCTGCAAGAGCCACCTTTCCATCTTTGTGAAATCAATAATCGTGACCACAACTAATACTCACCAGCTGTGAATAGCGTGGACCATTTCTGAGATGTTCTTCATACTTCCGGAGATCATCCGTGGATGACAGCGAAAGAGGGGGCTCGTTGAGTGTCTGAGAACCCTTTTGTGTGCAATAATCACACAGTCCTGCTAGGGCCTTTCTGAAGCAAGTGAGGGGATATACAGGATATTATAATCACAGCCATAATATCCTGTATATCCCCTCACTTGCTTCAGAAAGGCCCTAGCAGGACTGTGTGATTATTGCACACAAAAGGGTTCTCAGACACTCAACGAGCCCCCTCTTTCGCTGTCATCCACGGATGATCTCCGGAAGTATGAAGAACATCTCAGAAATGGTCCACGCTATTCACAGCTGGTGAGTATTAGTTGTGGTCACGATTATTGATTTCACAAAGATGGAAAGGTGGCTCTTGCAGGAGGCTGGTAATGTACAACTGTACGTGACTAACATACTTACACGGACGTTGGCACCAAGGCCTAGCCGTACTACTCAATTGGCGCGGAATAAATGAAAAAGAAGCCTTGGGTCAAGCAGACTGGCCCAAGGACTTATTTGTATTTGATGGTCACTTTATACTTAGTTAATTGAACAAGTGTCTGGATGAAATTCAATAACTATCTTTTTCACTGCAGACGCG